GACCGGCCCAGCGACGCCCTCCGTGCGCTGAAAACCCAGCCGGCAGGGGGACGTGGCGGGAGCTGCTGCCAGTGGCACTTGTGTCCGGGGTCGGGGTGGGGAGCCGCCCCCGAGCGCGTTCCTCCGTCGGCCTCGCCGAGGGCTGAGGTGAAGCAGCCTTCGCCTGGTCCGCGGCCTCCCACCCCCGCCCTCCTTCCCGCGCCGGCATCCGCGGCTTCCTCTTTGGAAGCGCGAGGTGCACGCCCGCCTCGGAGGTAACGGGACACCGGACGCACCCGCGTTTGAATCCCGCGCACGTTAGCCCCTTGCACGCCGCACACGCACTCACTTAACAGAGAAGCCGGAATCTGATGAAAGGACTGCCGTGTGACACGACCCGCGCTCACCGTGTCTTGTTTCGCACCCTGCAAACCAAGCGGGGAGACCCCGGCTCCTGCCGGCTGCCCCCCCCACCCCGAGCCTGGCTTTCCACCGGTCACAGCAGCGCACCGCCCTCCGGAGCCATTCTTCTCATGACTCTGTGCTCGCGGGACTCGTGCCGCTGTGCCAACGAAAACAGCAGTCCTGGGGGGCCTCGGTCCCCGCAGGCGTCCCCGACCGCGGCCGAGCACACAGGCCACAGCCCAGACAGGCGCGGACTGCGGCGGCGGGGCCACCGTCCAGGAGGCTGCCCCGACCCCCTGACCTCCCCTCCCCGCGACCTCGGAGCCCCTCCCCAGGGCCCCCCCACAATCCGGGCCCCCGTGACACAGGCGACCCTGACCCAGGACCCAGGACCCCTGACCTGGGTGCCCCCCTCAAGCCCTGCCTGTGACCCTGGCTTGCCCCCTAACCAGGGCCCCCCTGACCCCCGGGTCCCATCATTTAAACTGGGGGAAGGACGTGGGCTTAATGTACTGAAGACAGTAACAAAAATTTGCTGGAAGAGGTGCGGGTGAGGTCGTGACCACTGCTGACCCAAGAGCTGGCCCCGGGCATCGGAGGCCTCTCGCCCTGCCTGGTTCTTGGCATGTTGGCTCTGCCCGCCGTGGGCACTGCTGCAAGGACGCACCCTGGGACAGCGGGTGCGGCGGGGGCCCCGGGAGAGTCCCCTCTATGAAGTCTGAGATGCGCGGACGGCCAGCGAGCTTGTCCCCCAGCGCCGGAGACAAGCCCCGGAGGGAAGGCAAACCACCACCACGCACCTGGGCGGTCGCCTCCCCCGTCCGTCCCCCCGGCCTCCGGGGCTTCTACACCCGGGAAACTCCTGAGGGAGAGAACCCAGAATGTTTGTTTGGATGATAAACTTTGTATTCTTTAAAGCATAAACAAAGGAACACATTTACTGAATGCACAACCAAGACTGCAATTTGAGCGGAAATCGGCGGAGGGAGAAACCCAGGAACGGAGGCTCAAGTCAAAGCGTGGGCTCTGCCTCCATGAACTGATGTTTGCCACAGCCCTTCTTCTTTCTTGTTTTTAAATTCTGGACTTTGAACATCACTTTCCAACATGCTTAGAATTTCAGTCAGGCTTACGGATTAAGGAAATTCCACTTAATAAGAAAAATTCTGAAAGAGGATTAAGGAAAGTGTAGAGGATAAATAACTCAGAACTTGGGCTGGGGGGAGTCACCTTCTTAATAAACGTTCATGAGAACCTGTCAGATTGGCACAAGCAGGGAGAGCCGGTGAGTGGAGACACACAGCCTGCGTCCCTTGGGTTGGCGTTTGCTCTAAACAGGAAGAGCTCAGGTGGGCTCCTGAACCTGCCCTGCCGATACCTGAGACATGAACCACAGAAGCTTGTAGTAACAACAGCAATAATCAAAAACGTATCAGAGACGACTCACGTTTCCCGCTCACGTCGTGCTACTCTTCATAGTAACGGCCACAGGTAGTTTTCTTAGCAGAACAATTTATTAATGGACATGCAACAAAAATATCTCCCAAAAAATCTTCCCAGAAATAACAAGGCAGAAAGTGGATTTTTTTTTTTTTTGGTTCTGAGAGCTTTTTAATGTAAACATGAAATATCTGAAGAAATGATAAAAAGTAACAAACCTGTATAGACATTTTTAAAACTCTGATTTCAAATAGGCACTTGGGGCTTAGTCATACAAAATGTGTTACCTGATGAATGACTTAAACGTCTACATAGGAACCAAAACGCATTTCTGTAACTTCAACTGTAAAACACAAGTTCAGTAAGTACTGCAAATCCAGGAAGAACGTCTTGAAAAAATACAGTTAAGAATTATGATGAAAGGTGAGGACTAAAAAGACTTACGTTGAGGGGAAAGCGGGACCCACGGAGACGGGTCCCCACCAGCACAAAGCTCCTCTACATGTGGACATAATCACGGAGTCAAGTAGGTGCACAGAAGTCACATTACATCAGCATGATCTCCAAACACTTAAATACCCTTCAAGACAAGCTGTACCTTCCATGTAAGCACGGATCACTGGGCATGCCCCCCGACGGGCCACTCAGAGATCCAGGGCCTGTGTCTGGCAGAGCCAGAAGACTCCCAGCGCCGTAACTCTGAGCACACCGTGATGAGCAGCTAGGGAAGCTAATGCACGGGCAGAGACTGCAATCGCAGTGAGGCAGGCAGACGTATGTGTGACGTTCACACTTGCATTAAATAAGGAAGACAGGTTCCAGACTGCCCCAGTCACACTTACTGTTTGGAATCAAGCACATCTATACTAGTTTTCAGACCGAACGTTAGAAGACAGTCATGTGCCTACACTGTCACTTGCAGAAGTAACGAGTTAACTATATTTGAGTATCCTTCACGTATTCATTGAAAATTTTGACCAGATGCTGTCTTACAGATGTCCATTCACTAGGAGGAGTCCATACAGTTTACAAGTCTGAAAATAAAGCTTATTATTACACTAAAAAAAAGAACAATACAAATGTTTAATTATCACAGATTCCTGTAAACTTCGGGATTCAGCAGAATAGCAGGCACTTTAACAAGAACATTTACGTGATCTGTACAACAGTTTAAATTCAAAAGAATTACTTAATTGCCTGGGAATAATTTCCTTCAGTTTAAAATTTGGTTTTATCACTGTCTTAAATTCAGACTTCATTAGCATGAACAGGGAAACACAAACCTTGCATTTTATGGAATAAAAGAAGAGACCATGTCTTCACAGTGCAGTAACTAATTTATTACCTTGGGTAATGGGACAGGCAGGACTGGAGCTGAGGACAATAACTGAGGTCTTCCTGGAGGCTTTAGGTGCATTTAAACCTCATACGTAGATTTTAACAGAAGGCACTCAAAAGGCTTTTGTGGGTACTTTGCAACCCATGGTTTCTATGCCGCTGGCAAACTTTGTAAACAACTGTGCAAAGATGGCTCTAGTATCGTGAAGCTTTCTATTTCTTTTAAAAGGCAGTAGTTAATATACACAATTGGAGTAAATTAAGATGTTAATATATTAAACAATTTATAAACATTTAAAATTATAGATATCTTACAAAACAGTTCTGTGATAATAAAAATAATTTTTGCAAACATAAACAAACACGAATTAAACATAGTACAAAAATGTCTCTTAATCAGCATGTTAGCTGGGAGAGGGAAGAAGGTCTTAGACCTGAATTCTAACAGCTTCATAACATAAAATACTCCTAACTGAACTTCACATATATTTTTAACACTGAAGTATTAAAAAAATTGAAATTTTCAATAATTCCTTATTTTAAGGCCACTGAAACAAGGTTCACATTGTTAAATTTCTGTGGCGTGTTATTTCGAGTCCAGGGATGTTTGGGTTAACTCATCACACCCATTATGCTCACGGTGTTTCACCAAACAATACATTGTGTTGTGCTTTCTCCTCGAACTCACTAATGAAAGATCAGCACTCAGCGCTCCAGGTCAGTGCCTACGACTCACTCATGAAACGGGAAGGCGCTGCTGTGCTGCAGGTGTGGTCTGACTCCAGGGTAAATGGCTCTTGGAACACGGTTGCTATGACAGTGTCGTTGCTAGGACAATTCCAAGGATCACAAGCAAAATAACTACACAAATAATAATGAACACCATTTTCTGCAAGATAAAGAAAAACGTTAATTAACTCACAAGGTATCAAAGGCAGGCGATCACTAGTGATATTTCCTAACAAAATCCTCCTGGAATTAGAGATGCTTTAAAATACCAACCCGCCATCAAGGAAGAGCCCCCAGAGGTCACAGAAAGGGGAGGGGCAGGGAAGGAAAGTTCCAGAGGCAAAGCACTAAGTTACAGACACATGGACATTAAGTTAAATGAGTGTGATAAGTTAAAATATGTATCATTAAAATAATAACCACTTACTCCTGGAGGTAAAAGGCAATGTCTACTTGGCACCCCGCGGGTTCCTGATGAACACTCCCCACCGGTCACAACAGAATCCCAACCTGTCAATTCTCAGATGCATTACACGTCTTTTTAAAACTTTAACTGAATCTATTTCTCACGTGCTGAAGAAATCTCACATGTACACTCTTTTACACTGAGGTACGATGCACGTATGCAAGAATCAACAAGCTACTGACTCAGTCTTGGGCTGCATCCATGGCCCAGGGCAGGGCACCTCGGCGTTCCACTTTGCTTTTAATTAACAAGCATCCTTGCACAGTTGAAAAGCTAAACAACCTTAGGAAATCTAGTTTCTTCGAGGACACCTGTCTGTGGGAGAGGGGAAGGAATTCACACACACGAAAGGCACACCCCACTGTCCGACTCCGAGCTCTCCCTGTGAGAAGCAGAGACAGATTGTTTTCGATCACGGCCAACAAATGTGCGCCGCATCCTCATCCAGGAAGTCACAGCTGTGACACGGGCCGGCCCTCCACCCACACCAGCCTGGTGAGAGCTCTGCTCATTCCTGCAGGACTCACGGAGGCCAGCGTGGCCGGGCCCCTCTGTAAACTCCCACGCCCGTTACTCAGCACCTAGGGGTTGCTGCCTTCAGGATCCCTGTCACTCCCTCAAATCCAGCGCTGCTTGTCAAGATCACGTATGTTTCTTGGAGAGCGAGGGGTGCTAGCGGCCTCGATGCATCTCCCTGTGAACCTCGCTCAGCCTTTCCAGACACACTTTCCCCAGGGCCCATCCATCTCTCCTTTCCACCAGCATCCATCCTTCGGCTCCAGAACCTGCTCCGCGTGCCCCAGTTAACCTCCCTCGACCCAGAACCACCTCAGAGAATGAGGCTGCTCTGACTCCCACCCCATCGAGGCGTCTGCTGATTGTTGGGGGCTCTGTGTGTGCACTTGCTCCCACGCCCGGCCCTCGGTGGTGCTGCTCTGAGCTCCATGGCAGCTGGGTTCCTGCGTCCTCAGAGCCACATTTCTAACAACCATTCTTGTGCATTCTCCTGCCAGCAGCTCCAGCCAAGAGCCTGGACTTCTTGGTGGACAGGGCACACCCTTGAGAGTCAATCCACCACCCACTACACCTAAATCCTGGGCCTGGTGCTCCTAGACAGAAAGCCAGGCATCCCAGCCTCCCTGCAGGGCTACAGGGACCAGGATGTCTGGGCCCAGCGGAACGCTGTGCTGAACCACTTGCTGAATAAATTAGTTTTTCAAAAGTATAATCAGAGACATCAACCACTGCATTTGTATAAAAAAATAACTGCTGGTGTGCACTTAGATGTGTTTCTTATTAGTAAGATTGTCTTGTGTTCATTTGTGCTGAAAGGCATGAAGGCAGACCGGCCGGCCCCCGGGGGCACAGAGCAAGCAGCCAGCCCCACAAGAAGGACACGGAGGGGAGCCTGCCTCTGTCCAATGGCAATAACCACAGCCTCCATCTCACTGGGTCCCATCAGAAACTAAGTTTATCTCCAGTGTAAGCACATCCAACTAACCATGTGAACTAGGAAAAGCTGAGAAAACACATGTTTTATAAAGAATTATTTTTAAAAATTTAAAACACCGTTATTATTAGTGAAGGAAAAATCACATAACCATTTTTTCCACAGAGGTAACAGGAAAGCGTTAGGGAAGATACAAAAACATCCTGCCTGATACGAACAGGGTGGAGAGCGCTCAGCCTGCCCGCTGAGCGATGGAGGACTAAGTCCACACCCCAGGGCGTGTAACGCAGGTCTCAAGCGCAGCGTGCGGCTCACACGAAGGGGCAGGAGCAGCAAGGGGCTCGCGTCTGGTAAGTGCTCGTGCTAGTGCATAGGTGCTCATGGTGAGGGACACCTCTTTTTTTTTTCTTTTAAAGTGCCAAGTGTCTATCAAGCCAGCCCGTGCTCTCATGACAAAATAATGAATCCATCAAGGACTACTTGTCACAATCTAGGTCCTCACAAATTTAATCGCAATGATTATGCCAAACATTTCAGAATAAATAACTGGAATGTCCAAACCTAATACACAAGATGACATTCTAACTTCAAAGTACAAGAAGGATGATTCCAAATGCATAAGAAAACCAGAGGAAAAACAAAATCCACTGAAGTTTGGGGAAAGGGGTACTCATGGTGAACAAAAATAGAGATGCTCTAAATAAAGAATTGAGTATCTTTTGTATTCAGAACTCTTTAATTAACAGGCATGCTCACTAATAACAGTTTTCCCTTTAATACAGCAGCATTTAAAGCAAACGACATGGTGCCAATGGAAACAAGTTAAAGTATTTTAATTTCATTCCGTGATTTCATAGCGCTCGCCCCATTCCCTCTAATTCCGCAGTGACAATGGTGAGTAAACAAACAGATTTCACAAAGTGACTTTAGAGCGCTGCGCGTGTTCCAAAAGTCAACCTTTAAGAGATAAATCCAATACTAAGGGTTAGTGTTTTTAACTGGGAACGAATCCTTGCTGCTAGGATGGTCACACTTAGCGAAGCGCTCGCTGCAGGGAGGGCGAGCCTGCCCAGACCGCAGACACGAGGCTGAGGAGCAGCAGGGGCGGCTGTCGGCCGCACCGCCACGTCTCCGCAGCACAGGGGAGCTGAGGACGCTGGTTTAGAAGGAGCTGCACCCAGCCTCCGCTGTGCTCAGCACCTGACGGCCGGAGACCAGGGCTCGGAGGTCGGGCACACGCCCCGCTGGCAGGCTTGGATTACTTTTCAGTGTTTTTAAAGTGGGCAAGCTACTAGTTAATTGAGCGAGTGAATACAAGCAGATTAGTGGATTAGTTACTTACTGCCGCGCGGCAGAGAGGCACGCACACCCAGGGTCTCCACGTCATCATTTGCCAACTGATAAACCAATAATTAGAGCAATTACAGCCACCAGAACCAGCACCACAGCAGCAATTATCCACTTTTTCTGTCAAAGAAAGGCAAGCTGGTTATGTCACGGTCAAGTCCACACCCCACATTAAAAGGCATCATTCATTTAAAACAAGACAATCCATCGGAATTGGCTTTAGAGCCTAAGGCACGGACAGCTGACTACTTCTCAGTCCTGGAGAGAGCGCTTTGCCGCGGTCAGGCGGCCGGCTGAGCCTGCCTCGGAGCCCCTGGAGTGCTGGGCCACGCCCTCTCGACAAGTTTCTGGTGGTTTCTGACACGGGCAACTGACTTCTCTTCACGCAGAGAGAGGCCAGCTCAGCAAACTAGGAAATCAGTTCTCTGTGGGATAAGCTAAGGCCGCCCCAGCTCCCGCCCTCCATGTAAACCACGTCACTGCACTGGTGCCGCTGGCCTCCCAGGGGCTCACTCGGCTGCCCCAGGACCGCCACCAGGACGCTGGCCAGTAGCCCAGCAGCCCAGAAAGGACACACCTGAGAAGCAGAGGGAGTGTTAGCTGGTTGTGTGGTTTGGGGTGTCAGGCTGTGAACCGGGGAGACAGGGGTGAGTTTGGGTACGAGCATCATGTCCCTGACAGCGGCTGCCCGGGAGCGTGCACGCCCATCACCTGCTAAAGCGAGGCTCCCCCCCCCCAATTCCGGGTGGAAACATACCCCTCCACCGCCTCCGAGCTCTGTGAAAGCAACCAGCTTCTCACTGGAATTCTCGCTGGGCTGACGTGCTGCTTAGGTCATGGAGAAAAGGAAGGGGCTGCCCTTCCGAAATGCTTTTTAAGGTGAGTGCACTTTGTGCCTGGAACTGGCCTGAGCACTCGTGCCCTGCAGCGCCTCACTCTGCTTTAAGGCTCAGTACGTCTAAAGGCGTAACGCAGAATAGTGCAAGAAACTGTCTTATGGCTCAAGATGACTAGCCCATCAGATAGTCCCAAGAGAAAGCAGAGTGCAGTGCCGGGCAGGCTGACATAAGCCCAGACACGCAGCCTCCTATCTGAGGATGGCCACGTACAGCTGTTATAGGTCAATCTCAAAATCTGACTGTTCGTCCTTCCTGAACATTCTGCAATGACCTCTTCACGGGTCCTTCCTGACATCACACTGGGAACCTTCCGCCCACGGCACTGAGCGATCGCCTCTAAGAAAGGCGTTGTCAGCCCAGCGGCCGCCGTGGGGAGGGGGAGGGTGACACGCTGAAAGCAGTGTTTGCTGCTTCACAGTCCTTCCCCATAGAGGGGAGAGAGACCGAGAAGGGCTGGGCAAGGACACACAATGCCATGCACAGCTCCCCGTCCCTCAGTCAGAACTGAGTTCTGCTGTCGCTTTTTCCTGAGAAGAGCTTTCGCTCACACACCACACACGTAAGATTCAGATGAAGATGTTAAAACGCGTGTACGAAGCTTAAATGGGGACGCTACGTAACACGTTAGCTCCACAGTCTCCAACAACCCTCTCCTTTCCTCCAAACCAAAGGATTAGCAAATAACCCAAATAAAAAGTACAGTGTTCAATTCACTGCATCGTATGTGATGCAACAATTCTGGGGGCAGAATTTCCAGTCCCGTTAGTTCTGTACCTCCTGCCAAGTAATGACCCAAGAAGCAAGCAGAGAACTTTAGGACTGAAACCCATCCAGCTGAGAAAAGGGAGAGGAACTGACTGTGGTTACGAAGGGTTTTCATTACTTAGAACCAACAGGGTTCAGGCAGCATGACTTAGCTGGCAAACTTCAAACATCTTAGCAAAAAAAGGAAGTAATTCAGTTTTAAAACGAAACTTCAGTGTAAGAAGTTTTGTTTCTGGGAATCCCTGGGAAGCAGGCCCACATGCACGTACCAGCACTCAGAACCAAGGGCAGAGAGAAACGCACTTCAGTTCTTGAAGACTGCACTCACCCTTCGCGCTTTGCTGTGATATTTAATAGCTTTCTTCGTCTCTTCTTTAGCATGTTCTACATAGTCCATGGCGTTCATAACGTTTTTTTCTATGTTGTTGATCATTTCACCCTGAAAGCAAAAAGTTTCGAACTTAGAGGACATTTTTCAATGACATAATTGTGCATCTTAAGACGGCCACACAGCAGTGCTGTTTCCACAGGGACGTAAGGTGCATGTAATGGGGACCGAATTTTTCACATTTACAAAAAAAGATGAGACCATTACACATGTGCCAATACAAAGTAGTCAAAATCCAACTTACATTATGGAAAGAACGAAAAGGGATGGGCAACCATGCTGATGGCTGAAGGTGACCCACACAGACTCTGAGATGTGCTCCAACACGGGACACTCTCTGAAGTCGGCACAGGAGCGAGAGGCGGCTGGCGTCAGCCGAGCTAACACCCGCTGTCATGCGCGTGCAGCAAGGGACAAAGAGAGCCAGCCTCCCTGACGGGGAGGAAGCTGCTGTAATTTCTTTACAGCATCAGCAAACTAAGAGGAGCTTATGTTTGCCACTCAGGTGACTAAAATGAATGAGCAGAAACGTAAAGTGAGATGAATCCAGTGAAACATTAGAGGAGAAGACACACTACCTGGCTGTCTGTCCATGGCAGTCTGCGGCAGTGGGGAGTGACACACAGTCAGCTTACTCACGCCCAAGTGTCACCTGCTAGTAAGTTCTAACTATGCACACATTTTAAATTAGCTGTGTCAATAAAATGCAACACTAACAGACTTCTAAAAGGAAAAAATAAAGAAAAGCTAAGAACACAGCAATTTTTTTCTATTGGAAATGAATACGATACATTTGACATACAGCAATTCTAATGGAAAGTCCAAGGCACTGCAAAATCTTCAGTAATGACAAAATAATTAGTTCTCGTTCTTACCGTCTAACTAGTTTCCTTCCTGAAAATGAGAAGCCGGTGGTGGCCAGACTCCCCACTCTCCCCTTCTGCACCCTGAGCGGCAGCAGGTCCACCCAAGCAGGAAGGAGGGAAGCAGCCCGTCCCCGCCCCACACTGCAAATTCCGTCACACACTTCTGTGACAAAGTCCCTCAGGTAAACAGTGCTCTTCAAAAGGTCAGTGATCATGCGGAGAATGAACCCGGTGCCTGGATGGGTCCCCACGTCTCCTCACATCATAATCCAGGCAGACACAGAAAACAGGCCGGCAGACCTGAACCTTCTCAGAGAACCACCCCAGCTGGCAGGTCCTGCAGCCAGGCCCCGTGGGAGCAGGACCTCACAGCGCGGCCGGCTGCCCCAGCGAGCGACCCTGCGCGAGCCTCGCGGCCCTCGGAGAATCGCGGAGGACCTATATCAGGGCCACGAGAGGCGGCGCAGCAACCCGCCCGCCCAGCAGG